CACTCATCACCTAGAGAGAGAGAAAAGTTTGACGACGAAAAGAAAATTGAATCAGACATCCAAATGTCTTCCGAAGAGGAATCTTCTGATTTCTACGAACGTGGTATCTGCCGAATGGTTGGTGTTTGTAATTGAATATGAGGGTAAAGATGTTAGGAATCTTAGAGCAAGTGAAAATAAAAAAATAGATTTTAAAAGTGGGTTGTGGAGTGTTTCTTCTTTCCAAACTAATGAAGTGCGCTAGGAGCTTCAAGCCAGTCGAATTAGTCGAAGCGTCCGGCTCAACGGAATGTCCACAGCTTTTCACATTCAAAAAATCGCATGCACTTTTGTAGTATTGTTGATATTCGTTTGGATTTAATTCCCGTCCCACAAAGAAAAACCGAATATCTACTAATTCAGAGTATGATCTGATTTGCTTTCCAGCGTCAACAGTATGCCGGAGCAAAGCGTTCTCGAAGGACTACAGGGATACTGTTCTTGGGATGCACAATAACTTCAGGTGAAACTGACGCAGGGTCAACGGTCCGTTTGGTCTGTTCGGATGAGCATTTGCGATTTGGAAAGGGATCATATTGGATTGGCAAATGTCAACAACCTCTTCCAAAATTCAAACAGGGATGATATTTGTGTTGGTCGAAGAGGTCGAGATTGGGAGAGGAGGCCGTTATTGACAGGTTTCTGAGATTTTGACGAAACCTTATGCATAAAAAAGGCAGAATTGAAAAATTTGTCATTTTGTCGAACATTTTCCCTCATCCCCTTCCCCTACCGTCCTGCCCGCACGGGCAAAGTTGTTTCAGAGGGAAAACATGAGGCGGAGGGCGAAGTTGGAGTGTGCCGCCTAATCTGATCATAAGAGCAAATATCATAGGAACATCCACGGTGGCGAGGTGATGGTGGTGGGTGGATTAGGTCGTACTTGAAGGAATCCTTCACGGAAAAATCATGATTCTATTTCAGCCATAAATCACTGGCTTGAGACTCATTATCCACGATAAGAATGAAAAGAACAGAAAAATTGCTTTGTTTTGGTAAAAAATTCGAAAACCGAAAGGGCTGCTACGCGTTCAAAGTGCCCACGGACGTCTTTCACAAATGCTGGCGACGGGGATGCTTCCACTTGGTTCTTGGAGTGCCTTCACTAGAAACTCTTTCTGGCCTTCTGCTTGCACTCTTAGTTGTGTGCATTCACATCTCACACTTCTACTCCGTCCTATTTTATCGAATCATTTGTCTCTACTCTCCGAAATCGCGCGCTTTTCCCCATTCTTTCATTGCGTCGCCTGATACGTAGGCGCCCAGTGCGGACTTATTCCATGCCCCGCCTTTGGCTCCGCCCGAATTACCTTTCGATGTCCACAGAATGGATTTTCGTGAGTTTGTTTCTCTTCGGAAACCGAACCTTCATGCGTAAACTTTGTGTATTGCATATAGTGATCACAGCTGATACATCATGTTGAGAAAGTTTGCAAGAATTTTCCGCGAAGGATCCTTTTAAGAAATTCCTTCTCGGAAAAACTTAGCATCCTTTCCCAACGCGCAGTTGTGATCACTAGAAGCAATATACAAAGTTCCGCGCACAATGATTCAGTCTCCGAACTTACAAACTTACAAAACCACACTCTATGAAGAATCCGTAATAAAAAGGCACGCGAGCCAAATGCGAAGACTGGAAAGAAGTCCGCCTTGGGGCGAACTACGTATCAGGCGACGCAATGAAAGAATCGGGTTAAAGCGCGCGATTTTGGAGAGTAGAGACAATCGATCGATAGAATAGGATGGAGTAGAAGTGTGAGATGTGAATGCAATAAGTCAAAAGGCCAGAAAGAGTTTCTAGTGAAGGCACTCCAAGAACCAAGTGGAAGCATTCCCGTCGCCAGCATTTGTGACAGATGTCCGGCGGTACTTTGAACGCGTAGCAGCCCTTTCGGTTTTTCGAATTTTTTTTACCAAAACAAATGCAATTTTTGTTCTTTTCATTCTTATCGTGGATGATGAGTCTCAAGCCAGTGATTTATGGCTAGAGGGGAGAATACGATTTTCGGGACCAATCCCAAGGGGAACCTCCAGGGTACCCCCCAGGAGGCCCGTCGCGCGGCAAGAATGCCGAGTCAGCGGACGAGTCGCGCGCGTATTAGGGAAATCGCGTCAAGTTAAATAGAATGTCCCATTGCACGTCCTTCATCGCACATCACGCGCCGCGACTCGTCCTTCTTTGCCGCGCGACGGG